AACAAAAAATTGACGTGCGCGTCAGTATAAAAATCTGTTCCGTGCGTCGAAAAAGGTTGTGCCGCGAAAAGGTACGGAAATAAAAAAAAATAAACCGTAATAATCGACTCGCGATATGAAATTTTCTCTCGTCCGTACGGCAACAAAGCGCGCACGAGCGAAATTTTCGGCTGAATTTTTCAACTGATCGTCGCGGAAACCGACCTGGCGAAATCTACGTCGCGCGCAAATGTTCCGCATGAAACGGGGTTAATCTGATTACGGATTCTCTCGCGGTGCCCGGTGTGCAAGGAGCGCGAGCTCGCTTTGCCGGGATGTTGGGGAAAATCGCCGGTATTCTTAATTGAGGCCGGAGGAGGGGGTTCGTGCGAGCAAAGCTCGCGGCAAATCTGATGCGGACGATGGGGGGACGATCCATCTGACGTGGTACTGGCAATTAGCGTAACGCAATTTCGCCGCACGACGCGGCCTAGTCGATTCACGTCGCGACGCGGCGCGACGCGGCACGACGCGATCGCAGATATACGCCCGACCCTGTGTAATCAAATCGCTTCGCGTTGCGTACGCCGCGCCGCAGCGGAGAATCAACGCCATAAACTAATGCCGCTTGTGCCGGAGACGGCCAATGCGATTATCCCCGGCTCTGTAACCGGAAGGCGAGAGCCGTCGAGAATCCGATTAGAGAGCGCTCTAAGCGTGATCCGTTGGGAACAGGTGTCTTCAAGCGTGATGATTTATAAATGACAGCAAAACGTCCCGAGCGAAGACTGTTATTTGGCGATCGAAACGGCTTATGCGAGACGCCACTCTCCCGGGTGTAATTGAATGTAATGCCAGAGACGATTTGGACAGTTTTAAATACTCCCTAAAAAAGGAAGTCACGTAGAGTGATATATATTTCATAAAATTAATTGAAAATTAATAGCTATATTATTAGAAAACTGTAATATATATAGTCATTTTTGATGCAACCTATATAATATATTTGTTTGGCAGAATAATAAATATAATAATAATCGTTATTATTACTAGCATTAATAACTATAAAAACGGAGCTCCTAACCATAATTATTTTATCTATTATAGTCACACAATTCAAACACATTTTTCTCTCAATGATAGAATTAAATAAACTTATATAAAAGTAAACTCAAAAGAACAAACAAATCTCGATTATCCAAGTCTGATACGTAGTTTTTTGATGCTGATTTTCCAATAAAAATAAATATCAAAATAGAATGTGTTCTCGACGTACATCGAGGTCCGAGGAAGCATTAGTTTGCAGGAATCGTTGCCGAACGATCGTGCGACACAAATAATCTCAAATCGAGAGAGAAGGACGAGGAGAGGAGGAGGAGAGAGAGAGAGAGAGAGAGAGAGAGAAAGAGAGAGAGAGAGCAGTGCAGGCCGTCGTCCCAGCGCGGATATTCGAGTATGATACAAGATTACACGAGCTCTTCGGAAGTGCGGGTGTAACGCCAGAGATCGAAGTCGAATCGTCTCCGACTTTGGCAATGCGCAACGACCCAGATTTTCGTTCTCAGTGTACCAGCGTCGCTCTCAAAAGTTCGTAAAAATCGCCAGCGCGCGCGGCAAGTGACGGAATTCGAAGAGACGTTTTACCACTTCGTCGCCGTCGTTGTCGTTCGCATACGCTTCGCGATCGACATGACGCGACGTCAAAGACGCCTTCGGTAAGAGTAAAGAGAAAAGATAGGGAGAGAGACACACGTCTCTCGCAGAGAACACAAGGGCGTGTTTCCGAACTTCCGCCGTAATGGCCGCCCTCGCCGAATTTTCATACACGCGCCGCACCGCATCCTACCTCTCCCATCCATTTCTCGTTTTTTCATGGGATTTACATGTTGTTACGTTCACACTTTCCGTCGCGCTATCTTTGCCTTCGCAATCCGCCGCGCGCGCGAGACTTTCCTCTTGCGCGAAATTGAAATTTCCAACAGTGCGGATATAAACGTCGCTTCTGCATGGCATTCTGTTTACATATATTTGTTATACGCGAAGGCTTTTGGATATAAATAAACGTAGATCGTTGCTTCAATTTATATAGGATCTGGTAGAGTAGAAATAGACGCTTCTAAGCTAAATAGCATTTCTCGTATAAACAAAAATAGATAGTCTGCTGTAAGGAATCTGTCACTTTACCATTCGCATTTCGTAATGCATCTTCATTCCACAGATATATATTACAGTTTCGATAATTTAATCAGACTGAATTGTTAAAGTAAACTTCTAAGATTAGAAGTTCTCGATAAATAGCATCTTTTATTAATAGCAACTCGCGATTATTGTATTAATCGTCTTATTAAAAATAATTGACTAAATCACAAGATTGAAAAAATGATTTTAACATACAGATTAAATTAATGTGATGTTTCTCTGATAAAATCACTATTAATTTTTTCCCCCGATCATCATTAAACGGATATCATTTTTTTTTAATGATCATGTGATACTTGATATCTGATGATACATTTCCGATGTTGTTTTACTCTGTGCGAATATTATATGTACATCACAACGATAAGTTAATTTGTTCTTTCTAATATAGTACATACTTGCCGATTGATCCCGCAAGTGTCTAAGAGACGCCAAAGGATTGGAATAATTAACCAACAATAAAAACCGGGTCACATTCCGAGCGGGCCGCGATTACCGAAAAAAAAGGACGTCTTCGACGATAAACCGGCGACCGGCCGAAATTTTCAAATCTTAATTGCGGTGAAATGGTGTGTAATGACGTGAAATATTGCCCGGAGAAAGATGCTGACTCTTATTACGGCCGAGCGGGCTCCGAACCTTTTAATCTGAAGCCTCCCGGCCCCGGTGCCTGCAAGAAAATGCTGACCCGCCAGTTTCACTGCCAATCTGTTACGGTCGCGAGAGAGTATTTTCGTGTGCGCCCCTCTTTTTTATACTGCTTCCGCGTTTTCCTTGGCCGCGCCACCCGCCACCGCCGCCTAACATCATCATTTCCTGGCACGAATTTTCACGCGCGATTTTTCGAGTGTTTTTATTGCGAAACCCGGGTCGTTAACATCGTGGAAAATCGGTGACGATTCCCGCAAAATCAAGAAAAGAAATATCGCCGGAAGTCAGCTAATTAAATTTCGGTAAATTACATCAACGCTCCGCGCACGATTTCTTTTTATCCTTTATTTAATAGATCTTTTATTTTAATTGAAATTTCGATACTTTTAAGATCAAATTATTTAAAGAATTAGGTTACATATACGGTTTTTCTATTCCATCGTAAAATAATATAACTTTTATACACGTCTATATAGTTATACAGTGAACATCAATAAATTGAATGACCGACGTTAAAGCTCAGGTTTCAATTTTTATCTTTTCGCATTTTGAAGGCGAGATAGAAGACAGAAAATTCGTTATCTCCGCTTGCGGAATTTTCGCGGAGGTAACGGAGCTCAGGCTCGTTGCCAATTAAGGGCGAACGACTCGTTAGCGAGGAAGCGACTCCGCGGCTTTATTTTAATCTCAAACAATCAAAAGCTTCGACAGCGTCGACTGCATTTTATTATCTCGCGCGATACTTTTGTTTTCGCGTCGCGGGGCCCGCGTTTACACACTCGTTGGTTAACGCGTCCTTATTTATTCGCCCGTCATAATTATAACGCCCTTGCGCCGTGTTTAATGGGACGAATTTCCCAGCGAAATGTCGCGCCTACACAGTACGGTGCATCGCTCCGAAAATTCAATTTCCAGCGAATATACAAACGGTAACATCCGCAGGCCCACTTGACGCATTAATTCGAAAATCACGGATGGCCGATCAACCCTGACACGCGAATTGACCGCGGCGCGGACTATCGTTTTTATAATAAATCGTGACAATGGTATTATTCGAAAGCATTGATGGACTAAAAAAAGTTTCATAAATGTAAAAATTTTATAGAAAATTATAGTTATATTATAATTATATTAATAGCTGGTAAGACGAAGTAATATACATTTTTAATATGAAAAATTTTCAATCTAAATAATTGAATGAAAGATACATTACAAAATTATTTTTATAATGTCATTAGTAAAGAAGATGGTATTGATTTTGTTATAAGATATAATGGCTTCTCTTAATATTTTCAATATTAAATTCTAATAATTCTAATAATTATTTATAGAATCATTGTTTAGTAGTTTGTCATTACACAATGGCGCTAATACGTCAACACACAATAACCGGCGTTTATTATAACGCATTTTTACTCTCGAGCATTTCGAAACATTTCCAAGGTCCATTTAATTATCATACCACCTCATTTTTCTTTAACTTGGACGTATATCTCACGAATAGATGTACAGCCGTGGACACACCGGTTGCGACACTTTTTTTATAGGTTTCTAATCTATATTTAATATACATAATATGTATACTTTATAGATAACTAATATTTTGCAAATGCAAACCACGATGTATTATCTTTAGTTTAGAGACAGTATAACCAATCGTGATTCGCATTTGCAAAATATTAGTGCGTTTTGAAACCTATAAAAAAGAAAATGTCGCAACCGATGTGTTTATGAGTGTACAGCCGTAAACACACCGATTGCAACACTTTTTTTATAGGTTTCTAATATGTATTTAATATACATAATATATACTTTATAGCTAATAATATTTTATAACTAAAAATATAAATAAAGCTTTATAATATTTTGCAAATGTGCACGATGTTACTATCTTCAGTCTAGAGACAGTATAACGCCAATCGTGGTCCGCATTTGCAAAATATTAGTGTGTTTTGAAACCTATTAAAAAGAAAATGTCGCAACCGATGTGTCCATGACTGTACACTTGAGTGTTTTGTTTGTTTCATATTTTATTCGAATATACATTTTGAATTATGCAATGTTAAAAATAGCGTGAAATGCTAATATAGTCCCCTGCGCGTGCGTTTCATGGTTTCAATGTCAAAGAAATTCGATAAGTCGATTGTACAGCTGTATTATTATCTATATACATACTTCACGTTTGTAGCATAAATTTTTAGTACTGACAATAGCCTATATGTGCGGAAGAAGTTGTGTGTACGTATATTTATAAAATAAAATAAAATATTCTGCAATATTTTATTTTATTTTATTTTTGCAAATATTGTGATAACAAAATTTGTGATCAAATATTGCGTTTTTTTTTTTCAACAAAACCAATTTGTTGGAATTTATTTTCGTGAGAGGACCACACTTTTAAATAACGTCCTAAGTAATAAATATTTCATAACATTGAATCTAAAATCGATAAAATGATACTTTGACAAATGTAGTCGTTAAGTTTTCAATTTAAATATTGATTATTAACGAAGTTATTGCACAAAATGTAAATGAGAAGGAGGATTCTATTAATCCTATTCTATTAATCGTTAGACTAACAATTACTTTCATTATTATCACTTTTTAGATCATCAATCAGAGATTAAGCAGTCACAAGCAGAATCGCTAACCTCACGCCGTATAATTAGATAATCGTCTTTGATCATCTCCTAACGATGACCAGATTGACATATCGACATGCCTCGGTGGCAATTGTTCTCGCTGATCCTGCCGCATACATCCTTGGCCTCGGGGGTACGGAAAGACGCATGGTGCACGCTGCAGGATATCGTAGGTGGACGGGAAAGGGCGCAGGCGCTATGCACAAAAGCGATCGTCAGTCGTCGGCGGAAGCTGAAACGCGCGGCTTCGCGGGGGCCGCAGTAAACGCAAACGTAGCCCACGGCGTGATAATCGCCGACGTATACATTGTGCACACATTTTGCGCGCGCCAATTATTGACGAGAACCGTTCGTCACGAGCTCGCGATAACGATTCGGCCGCACGGACGGAACGTATCATGCCCCGCGAACGGTTTTTTCGCTCGTGCAGTGCATCGTAGATAAGGCCGACCATCGGAATCGAATTAAAGAGAAAAGAACTTGCAGTTGAATGCTACGCATTGAGGTGAGTACCCACTGTGCAATTTATGTGATCTCTCTCTTGCATTGTTCGAAAGCATGAAGTTGTACTCTGTCGAAGAAAACCACGTAAGCTAGTAATTTAAAATTTAAGCAGGAGAAAAAGAATTACGAATAATTTAAAAAAATACGTTAACCTTGAACGAAGCGGAGAGCAGTTCTCTGGCATTGATAAATTCCAAAGGGGGATTAATTCAACAAATGTCTCTCGCCCAGTCCTCTCGTTATAAAAATTAATAATACAATACATAATCCAGCTTTTTTCTGCAATGATATTTTTTTGACCTATTGTCGCACTGCCGGCATTAACGCTACATTTAATATTTTAATCAAAGCAGTACTTATAGTAACCTTTGTGTGTGTGTGCACCTATGTATATGTACGTGCACGTATTTAAGCGCCGCACACGAGATAAATCACTGTATTCATATACATATAGCATTGACTTGAACGGCCGGGAAAGAATCATGATGAAACATAATAAAGATAGTACTAAACGAGAATAGAGCTTATCAATTTACGATGATCGCGATCATAATGTTTTATTTAATAACATTTACGCGATATCAATTGTCCAAACGTATATAAATCAATCCCTCCTCACTTCCCTGGACGATAAGCCACGAAAATCTTTTATAACCCATAAATTTATTAAAGTCGATAAATCCAGTGCGGTAAATTCGTCTATGCAAGAAACATGACGAGAAACAGCTGATGAAACGGCATCCTTTATGCAGCCACGCAATCGTTGCAAATTACGATTAAATTTCATTTCGTATATCATTTTAGAGATGCCGAATTATTGAAGATTAATAACGCGATTAAATATCGATTCGACGTATCAGCTGCAGTTTGTATTTGCAATCGCGTTCATTATTTGTTACTCGTTTATTTTATTTTTCGGTATATCATCGCATATATCATCGCAATAAACTCATTATTATTAATATTATTACTATTATTATTCCAAATCGCGTTGCAAATATTTAATTCCAGCGTATTGAAATGTCCTAACGCCGCGCAGGAAATACCGTCAAAGTTTACAATTTAGATAAAGATCGCGCGATATCGAGCTTCATGCCCTGCATAATGTCGCCGCGAGTGTCGACCGTATCTGAAATCTAATCAGTTCATCCGATTTCCTGGCGTATGAATTGCGGTAGCGGTAACTACTGCTCACTGTGAAATACGTCTGACCACGGACGCCGTAACTACTGGCCGGCATAACTCGAGATAAATCTCCTCTTCTCAAGGCAGTTTATTTTCTACCGGTGAAATTCGCAGATCCGTGCATTCCTATCAATCCGCATATAAACGCACTGTACCGTATATGTTATTTAACGAGAAAGTACAAATGCGGAAATTCTCCGAATTTAATGTGAAATATTAAATTATGATATCTACGCACGATGTTGATTTCTTCGTTATAAATTAAATTTAAACGTAGTAATTACAATATATTCCAGTATTTTTATAATTGTTTTCTGTTGATATTTTTATTTAAAAAAAATCAATTTAATATCCATTATCTTATTTTTTGTTATCAATAAAATAAAACCAATTAACTTAATTATTTATTTAATTTTCTACTTGTTCAGAATCTCTCCAAGATGATCATGAAAACTGTAGATAATTAAAGAAATATCTTGTACGGTCAATCAAAAGTGTTTGATATAAATTATTTAAACAGAATCCAATTCTGATATACCAAAAGAGTAAAGCACGCGAAAAATATAATTGCAAAATATTCAGTTGAATAGAGTTCTTTAAAATAAATACGTAGTTTTGCGCAAATTGGAAGCGCAATTAATAATCATCTCATTACAATAATAACTACAGTTGTAATACATGAAATATTTGTTAATTACAATAATTATCTAAATAATCACAATATTTAACTGTATAATTGTTTTAGTTAATTATGTTATTAACTAACTAATTATAATAATTTATAACTTGCGCGTACTAAGTAACTAATATCTATATTGCTTTTATTGGCATATGTTATAATAATTACAATGATAATATAACATTTCAGTAGTATAATATAATAGATTTTTACGCAAGAAGCGTATAAGCGAGTTACAAATAGCGATTTCTCTATAAATTATATATACTATATATATAAATGTTATTATTGAAACTCCGTAAGAAGATTACGCAAAGACGTAACAAGCTCTAAAAGGAGCAGAAGCTTTTAAAGGATTAATTTCCTGTCCGTAATTAGTTACAGGCATTGTAACTTCCGTATGTGAGTAGGTATTTGTTTTGCCTCCCATGTACTTCGTCAGACTTGTTACGACGCCGCAATTACGGTACTACAACACAAACTTTATAATCAGCTACCGAAAACTGGAGAACTCCCGCGACACGGTCACTTCATTCGCGATAATTACAATACTGTCGTCGGAAAAATCGTAGAAACGCGATATGACCAAATCGAAGACACGATCGTGCCTTACAAATCTATCGATTTTCTTCCAAGGCATGCGCAATTATGTAACAGTATTTATTTTTAATCAACAAGTTAGAATTAATTCTAAATACGAGATAACTCCCCGCTTCTTTTATTTACTTATTTTTCCGTATTAAGTTGAGATTAATATTTATTTAACAAAAATGTTGAGGAATTAATCTCGCGATCAAACAAATACATAGTATATTTTATTTTCTAATTTTGAAACATAAAGTATGCTTTAAGATTTATGTAATAAAAGAATTATTTATAAAAAAATTAATATTTATAAAACTCGGAGAAACAGAAAACGATTTGTCTCAACATTTTTATCAAAGGCTTGACAAATTTAAAACATTCTGTTTACACTACTTAGCTTTAAATATAAAGTTGCTGTGTCTAATCTATTGAATAATATTAAAACTACCGAACGACAGTTAACTCGAAAAATCACGTAAATTCTCTTAGAGATAAATGATGCGTCTTAACTGCGGATCAAATTAGCTTACGCGCGAGCGCAAGAGCATTAGTCACAGACAGGACATTAAAAAGAAGTTACCTTCTCGAGAAACTCGATTTTCATGGCGCGACGAATTATCGTCATTTCATTGCGTTCAAAGGACACTTAGTGCCGTCGCGCCGGTGCGTGCGAATGCATGAAAAATGAAGTGTTGGAAGGAGGGATCTTCACAAAATAAATAATAAAAAGTGAGAGAAGATCAAGAATAAGTTCATAGAACATTCATGGTAGCTGTAACCAATTTAAGCATGAATACGTGCTGAAAACGTGTATGACTTTTACATTTCCCATTAATGAATCTTTCAGCTTGAAAAATATATCTTGACGCGTCTTTCGGATTTATATATTCCAAATTCCCGTTTTCTATTAGCAAAATAAGTGGTAATAGACTTAAAGAAACTTATACAAAGTTAAAGCTGAAACAGCGGGAGAGAGAGACGTTTCACGAAAGAGTTGATCCGCGCGAAGAAAAGTCTCGGTACGCGACGTTCTTTATTCGGCTGCATAAAGAAGCCGCCGGGATATATCATTCGCGCTAGTCTAGTCATTCAATTTAATAACGGGCGGTCTGACACTATACGTGACCGGATTTCTATTCAATAAGTTGTAGAGAGAGAGAAGAAGGTAAAGTTCTCGACTTTCAGCGCACCGCGCCGCTCGTCTTTTCATTAATCCGCGGAATACGAGTTTAATCCCGAAAGTGGCAAGTCTTCGGGATATATTACCAAATATTGCGAAACATGGCTGAGCTTCTTAATTACACGTCCGATAATAAAAATGATTTTACAATACGATAAAAAAACACGCGTCTTTTAATAAATTTGCAAGTGAAAAGAAAATATCCTAACAATGGTATGGTAACTCTCATTGCAATTTTAATTACGTCTAGGTTAAAAAGTTTCAGAAATAAGAATCTCTTTATGTTGAAATACTATTTGAGATAAAAGAAGGAAAGCGCAAATCTATTCTCTTCTTATAATTCCTTTTTCTATTTAATTTATTACACGCAAATACAATAGAGGGCAAATGAAATTAGCATTGTATTCTTCGATATGGAATCGTGAATTATTACGCTTGTTCGCGAGTGTATTAAATTGCTAGTAATTAACTAAACAAGATAAATTTACGTAATTTGATATATTCGCAGTCTAGACTTGTGTAAAACTTTGTTTTCGTCAAAGAGTGTATTTAAGTCCTAATGAATAAGGTGTTTAAAAAGACATAAAACCTTTCTATCATTCTTTCCCTCATTTCGGACCATGCACTTTATAGAGACCTTCTCGCGGTCTTTCTATCACGAGAGTTCAGTGGCCCGAGTACCGTTCCCCGAGTGTTCGGGAAAAGCCTCGAACACTCGGGAGAGTTCGGCCCCGTGCGACAAAACAGCGTGTGGTCACGCGATTCTGCAGATCTTCGCGCGATCTTTTTTCCTCTCTGAATCGAGCCGCGACCGGCTTGGGGGAGCGCGCGCGCGGAAAGGGGCCGGACGGGGGCGACGGGGGCGCGCAGCTGGTGCTTAGAGGGCGAAGAGAATTTGAATAAAACCTGCGGCGAATATGGCTTTGCCTTATCCCACTCCCCTTTCGCGCTGCGGGGGGGGGGGGAGAAAGAAATGCAAGTTCCGCGCTTGGGAAACTCGTAAAAAGCCCGCGCACAGTCTCTCTCCGACATCCCGACATCTGCGGACCGACCGAGGTCGATCTGTGGACCTCCTCTGCTTTCCCACCTCTCAGCCCGCTCAGTTTCGCGTTTGTTTCCCGTCGCAGAGATCGGCCGCCCTCGAGCATTTGCGAAACGGTCGATCACGATTTGCAGCCGTCATTTCTCGATGGTACAACACGAAGATACTATCCTAACCCGCCACCGCTGCCGACGCGGAATATTCTATTCGAAACCCCCGTCGCCTCGTTGGGTATCATCCAGAATCGTTAAGAGCCATTTCGCCGACGGCGCGTTATTCCTCGCTGTTACGCGAATATGGAGTGTAACACGCCTACCGGGAGATTACGCGTTTTACGTGAGACAAAGGGATAGGATTGAAACGGCGGATGCTGCGAGCGAAACCGTTATGTACGCCTTCGAACCGGGGCGAGT